GAGGGGGGGTCAGGTGTCCCACAGGGATGTGTGGGGTGGTCAGGGGTCCTGAGGGGGGGTCAGGTGCCCCACAGGGATGTGTGGGGTGGTCGGGGGTCCCAAGGGGGGGTCAGGTGTCCCACAGGGATGTGTGGGGTGGTCAGGGGTCCTGAGGGGAGGGCAGGTGCCCCACAGGGATGTATGGGGTGGTCAGGGGTCCCGAGGGGGGTCAGGGTCCCCCAGGGTGTGCAGGGCTGTCGGGGCCCCGTGCCCCCCTCACAAGAGCACGGCTCCCTCGAAGCAGATGTCGGTGAGGGTCCTGTCCACCAGCACCGTGGGGGTGTCGTGGATCTCGGCCCCCACCTGCAGCAGCAGGAACACGGCACAGCGGTGCAGCTCTGGGGGCAGAGGGGGTCCCGGGGGGGTCAGTGGGGCCGGGGGGTCACAGGGGGGTTGGGGGCAGTCGGGGGGATTTCGGCCCCCACCTGCAGCAGCAGGAACAGGGCACGGAGGTGCAGGTTGGGGGGGGCACAGGGGGAGTCAGGCTGGGGGCCAGGAGGGTCACAGGGGGTCAGTGGGAAAGGGGGGACCCCCAACACCCCGACACTCACCCCCCTTGTTCCTGAAGTACTCGGTGTCCTTCCACATCAGCGGGATGCGCAGGTCTGGGGGGCAGGAGGGGATGAGACCCCTTGGGACCCCCCCAGAGACCCCAGGCCCCCCACCTGGGATGCAGACACCCCCGGGGGGCAGGGGGTGGGGATGGGGTCCCCCCTCCCGTACCTGAGATGCAGACGGTGCCCCTGCACGGCACCCGCTCCGCCCCGGGGCCGGCGTCCGAGGGGCTGTGGGGGAAGGGGTCAGTGCAGCCCCCCTGCCCTCTGGGGTCCCTCACACTGCCCCCAGGTTTGGGGTCTCCCATTCCCCCCCCAGGTTGTGGGGTCTCTCCCTCAGCCACCCCGTCCCGTGGGGTCCCCGTTTCCCCCCGTGTTTGGGGTCCCACATTCCCAGCCCAGGTTTTGGGGGTCCCCTCACCGCCACGCCCCCCAAAGGTCCCCCATTCCCCCTCCAGTTTTGGGGACCCCCCCAGTCCTCCCCCTTAGCCAGGGTCCTCCCATTCCTCCCACGTTTGGGGGTCCAACCCCAACCCCAACCCCAACCCCAACCCCAACCCCAACCCAATGCATTCCGCCCCGTTTTTGGGGTCCCTCACCG